ATAGGGACAGACAGTCCGACATCAAAGATAGAGACTTGGCTGCAGTGGATTGAATCAGCATCTTTTCTGACACAGCTGTACTTCAGTGCATTGATATAGTAAAAATTGTCCTGAATAGATGCTAGGTGATTTTAACTCATTTACTCATCTGGTATTCCCTGCATAGTAAACATTCAAATGTCTCCGTAGCAAAATAAATGCTTTCCTCACAGTTTTAAGGTATTTATCCAGTCCATTTAACTTTTTACTACATTGATTTGACATCTATAAGAACTCAAGATTGAACATACTGTCGGTGAAAAGAAAACATGGTTAAATTGTAAGATAGGCATTATTATAGATTAAACTGCCCAATAGTTTTTATAGTTATTCAATCAGCTTTAACTCTGCTAGCTAAAACATTCAAGTACTGTTTAGACAACTCATCATCAACTCATCATCATCAAAATGACTTTTAAGTACTTGGCTAAAAATATTTGTACAATATTTGTCCTACGGTATTTTCCCATTGTAATATTGTTAGTCCCCCTGCTCTGTAGTAAATTGAGATTTAAGACATTTATGGGTAACTAGTTCACTGTAGAATACGTTCAATTTACATAAGTAGCAGAAGTGAAGCCTTGAATTTATATAAATTTGTTAGCACACTATTGTGTACACTTTTTGACACTTAAATGCAGAAGAATAAATATAATATCTTACAATAAGTATGGCCAGTGTCTTCAGCATGTAATGATTCACAGCCATGATCTCTGACTCTGAGTCCATCTTTAACAGCAGCAATTATTTATGTCCCATTCCATCACATTAAATTATTCCATTGCATTAAATCAAGCCACATTATTCCCTCGTCAGCACATTCACGGATCAGCCCACTGGCAGGGTGACACAAATAAACAGCCCTGATCCTGATGTAGCACCTCACAGCACGTCTGATCCACATCTAGGGGTTGCAGCTCAGAGGCCTGTCTGCTGTTAAACGGCAGTAATAGTCAGGATTAACAAGAGCTGGTGTTTTTGATGGGCACTGGGGTATTAATCATGTTCACCCCGCTAGCTGGCAAGCACCAGATGGGTTTCTGGGTAATCCTAGCGTGGGATCAGGGGTAGACCCAGGGGTGGAGGTGTGGGAGTGCAGAATATACACTGGATTATCACTGCCATATTAACCCATTTGTGCCAAGAGACTATGTTTAGTATGATAAGGAAAGATGCCACAACAATTTGGTCGTGATTGATCTTTACATCTAGAGTCAAAGATGCTACTGTATGGACAAATCACACTTTTATCAATAGTCATAAAATAAAATAAAGAATGTCTTCCCTATGAGTTTTATATTCAACTTTTTAGTTCTTAGTTATTTGCCAAAGATATTCTATGCTCTTGGTGGTTTCTAAGATATAGCCATTTTATTGTCATACTATATTTAGTCTTTGGACACCTGGGATTATTATCTTTTTCCTAAAAGGTAATTGTATATAAAAGTAAAAAACAGTAGTCCCATCTCCCCAAATAAGAAAAACTTGCTTCACAGCCCGTTTGACCGATTTTGTCTTGAGATTTGTATTCAAAATGTAATTTGGCACAAATGGGATAAAAGAGAAGACACCATAAAACTTGAGCAGCCAAAAAGAAGGTATTCAATTTCCAATACTGTTTTAAAATTCAAAACCAAATGTTCAAAAATGACTTCAATATGCTTCACCTCGTGAGAACTGTGCATCAACAGAACACAATAAGAAGGGCTTCTTGAATGATGATTTAATCTCAACCCTTTTTAAACTCACATGAAATCATCTATGAAGTCATATTTGAATCCCCCCTGCAGCCAAATAAGTTTGGTCGTTAGGTTTGGATCACAGTAAATATGAGGCCCTTTATTTCCGCATGGCTCCCATGAGCAATGAATCACCCTTGACTCTGACTTAAATGTATTTGTGATTATGAATAAATGATCTCTGACCCCTGATGTGATACCAATTCTTCACACATAAAATGAAAATGATGACCGTCTTTTAGCTGATGGCAAAGGATGAATAAACGGGTGATTATATCCATATGTTTTGGTGCAGGGTCACCTCAGAGGTAAAGGGGATTTCATATAACCACATAAGCCCCACCTACTGTGACATTGTTTTTCTCGAAACCAAGACATACAGCTTTGGTGTTTCTTCATTTTCAGCCCTAAGGCAGCACTAAAATCAAGCTATGGTTTTCCTCACAATCCCCAAGCTTCCATTCAATCCTACAGGCTCGGCTCTAAATGAAGGCCCAGTGGCAGCTTTACGACCTTTCAGGAATAAAAGCCAAAGCAACTAATCCAGCCCTCCCACCAACATTGTCCCTTTTAAACCCACAAAGGACTTTCCCTCTGCAGCATGTCCGGTACAAACAGCCAACTCTCCTCTGAAGTACCATCCCCCCGTCTACATCCAAGGCAACGTCAACAAGGTCAGTTTCCTAGAAAGATACTGTAGTAGGGACATTTAAGATACTTTAATCAATACCTAGAAAAACAAGGCAAATGACAGAGAAAGAGCAACACCTTTATATCAGAAGGAGATTAAATAAAGACACAAGTAGGGGGATAAAGAGGTGAAAAGAAAGAGACAGTTATAAAGATTCCAGTATTGATCTGAGCTTCTATTTCTAATCTCCGTAACCTATAGCTGGATTGGACATCAAAGCAATTTGACCCCCACAGCTGCCCCCACGGGTCACCCTTTAGTGACTGCTGACTCCAGGTTGCCATAGTGATAGAAAAATTATGTCTAGGCTCTGTTTGGACGGGTTTAAGAGACCTGGATCTGTGCCCAGCGCCCGATTGCTTTTAATCATGGGCACTATGAAAACGCTGCAGCAGAGCATTATTGCTTTTTTGCTTTTGTTCTATTGTTGTTATTCTTCTGGGTATTGTTTTATGTTTTTATGTTTTTTTGAGAAGAGGAAGAAACATTAGGTCTGTCACATCCCTCAGTTGAATTTCAAGTCATAATATAAATGCCAATGTGGAACTGTCTGTCCGTAAAGCCATCCACCATTTTGTTCCATATTGAAATATCTGAAAGGCATCATGTACTGTATGGATTGCCATGAAATTGTGTTCATGTCGGTGAAAAAAAGAATGATTCCTAATCAGATGCTGCTCACTTACCAAATTGTCAAAAATGTGGTAACAAAAAACGTATTGATTGTATTTAAAGTCTACACTTTTTTATCTTTAGGTGTGTTAAGTGATATACTAAAGGATCACAATGAACTGAGTTTATGGCTTCATTATTGTAATTCTATTTTTGACGTAATCACTGTAGTGCAGTGTTAGATGTGTTTTAATCAAGTAAAATCAATCAATAAATGGTTCCCAGAGGATATACCGCTATTACTTTGGTGATTGCTTGGATTTAACTCTTCCGCTAACATGGGGTTCTGTCTCTGATTATTTATGGTAATTAGTTTTAGTACGGACAATAATATTCTGCTCAACATGAATTTTAATCATTTCGGTGATTATTTTATTTGACCTCTTATGTTTAGCATTTCTGAAACATTGCTTTGTGACTAAATACCCTCAAAACATATGACATCAGCCGTTCCCATTAGCCTCAGCTGCCAATTTGTTAGCTTGCTGACATTAGCTCAAAGCTATATGTTGTGTCTAATGCTGCCTTGAAATTAAGGCTAGCAACATTTTGCAAGCTAGAAAGTAAAGCAATACAGGAAATGCTATGGCAAAATAACAAAACAAAAAGACTAGGCCGTTGGGATGTTTCAACATTTTTAAATATATATCAGCCTATATATATTTTAAAAACTCAATTTACCAACAACCAAATAATGAACTTCCATGGCCTCCCGCCATTTTTGAAAACGTCATCAAACATGTCAGGTAGCTTTGAGAAAATGTCCACTATGCAGGTTGTGAATACCTAAAGAGGGGGTCATACTTATGGAGTCAAGTGAACGCAGTAAAAAAAATGCCTATTTTAAGGCAGCATAGACCAGCTTCACAGAGCCGCTAGCATCTCTGTAGGCTGTAACCTCATAATCTTGTTCGGAACTTTTTAACAAATGGTGCCCCTTAGCAGTCATTGGATTGTGTTTTTGAGGAGAGGAAGATACATTTAGGTAGTTTATGACCTTGGGTTGACTTGATTTACTGGCCTGTCATTGATTTATGTCACATGGTTGCAGGGAAACACCTCGCTACGTGCAACCACATAAATAATCCCCAAGGCTTCCCTCATTTGCGTGTTTCTTGTCAGCCACCATTACTGTACATGTAAAGCATAAGAGGCAAGAGAGTGGCACAGGGAATAACAGGGACAGGTGGATGCAAAAATGCAAAAATCACAATGCACATTCTGCTCCCTCAGGTTTCCCCCCTGTGGATGTATCACGGCTCGAAATTCAGCAAGTCAATCATGTGTGCAGTAGCTCCACTGCCAAAAAACAGCACATTTTCCACAGCTGCAGTGTTTTTTTACACCTTTTTTCTCAGAAACGTTGGAGTATTGGAGTATTGCTGCCTCCACATGCCTCACAATGTGTCTCAGCTGTTGAAAACGCGCATCATGATGCAAATGTATTCCGGCACCAGCTGCTGTGTCAAGATGATTCGGCAAAAGACATCCTTGAAAGTTTTAATGAGCTTACCTCAAGTAATGAGGACACTCAGGTCACGCAAGTCAAGATGTGTGCTTGGGCGTGTGTATCAGTGTCTTTTCATATTATATGCGCATGCATTTATGTCTGTTTTGACATTCAGCATTTAAACACACTCAGTGGGAGGCATCTGAGTAGGTAACAACTCATTATCTCACCATGTCAAGCAAGAAAATGACGCAGCAGGGGCACACACACTCACACTGTGATAGTATGCAGGTTAGTAATGTGTGAGGGGAGGTTGGACTTTGTATTTGTTGAATAACATCACATTTCAGGACCAAATTAATAGATTTGCAGAAAAGCAAACGGGTTAAAAGACTTAAGCCTTTACAGATTTGCCACAAATAGGTTTAATGGTTTATGCTTGTCATTAAATAACGTGGCAAAAATCAACTGTTACGTAAAAAAACTGAAACCGGGCATTCTGAACAAGCAAACAATCACCGAACTCTGTTACCATACACAGTGACGTGACAAAAACTCTGCCTGGATTGAACAAATAAATTGATTTAGGATAATAAATTAAAACAAAGATATCCGTTTTTTTGCGAAATAACCCTTATATGACTACAAACTCATGTGATGATCATAACCTGATTTAGTTTCAGTTTGGGAGTCAGAGTAAAGCATCTGCTGATCTCACAACAGGGCTGAGCTGCCTCACCTCTCAACTACCTCAACGCTAATCCATGCAATTACAATGTCAGAAGCTGGCAGACTAGAAGGTGGGAATCAAAGTAAATGGATTGTTTCAGTTTGTGTGGGGAAGGAGGAGGGGTGGAGAACTCCCCTATCTCTGCTGACTCAGGCATAAATAGGGAAGGAGTGTCACAACTCCAGACTTCAACATTTGGATATAATCCAGAATTAACTTTCCTTTTTGCTCTATTTTTGGTCTCCACCAAGTCTTGAGGGAAAATCTGGCTCTTTTATCTGCTAAATAGTCCACCATGTTCCTCAGCATTTTGCAAACTGCTGCTAGGCACAGTGGTGTTTTCAGAGAAGATTCACTAAGAAAACCAAAAAAACGAGTATTAAAAACCCCACTTGAATGTTACATAGAGATACATCACTCCTAGGATCTTTTGTTAATATAAACATTTCGATTATGGCAACTTTCATTGAAATTCTGAATCATTTGCACAGATTCACAATTTCTTAGTCCCAACCCTAAACCTCAAAAGGATCCTTCATTCCCATTTATTAACTTCAAGGAAAGCCATACATTTTCTGTACAGTGCTTATATTTATTAATTCTTCAGTGTTAAAAAATGTACAATTTGTATAAACATTATTATTAATAATAAAGTAACTGAAACTTAACCTGTGTGGCCACAAAGGGAATGCACTTGGGATAACTGTTCAGTCATGGCAACAAAATGAATTATACGTTTTAGCTCCTTCAACAACTGAAATCTGTCTTATTTCCAAAAAGAAGGTCCCTTTTGTCCAACACAAACACAGAAACATGGAATAAATATTTCGGGGAAGAATCCATGGAACATAAACAACCATTTAGTGGAGGAAAATCTGTGCAAGCTTGTGAAGGATATTAAGGACATTCAAAATTCTATAGGAACCTGCCACATGGAAGTAAATCTTTATATATTAGTCCTACAGTTAACAGGCAAAGTCTTCTTTAAAACAAGTGTAGAAAAGCACTTAGTGAAAACTAATTGCTATCAAGGTTCCCTTCAAATCTATAATAGCTTTCAAGGGGCAGAACAAAGAATTTGTCGATACTGCTTCAATTATTATGAGCAAATCCATTCCTCCTGACCCTGCGGCCGAGGGTTATTGTTGTTGTGTTGGCACACATCGCCCATTAAAAGGGTCCATTAAAGAAGTGTCCCAACCGTGGATAAATCTCCTAATGTCCACAGCGTCAATCAAGAGTTCATCTCCTCCTGTTCTTATTGTGCTTCACCATCTTCTTCCTCTTGAGAATCATCTCGTAAAGTTTCTCCAGGCCCTGTTGGAGCCCCTCACCATCCACAGCGCTGCAGCTCTGCACGTGATGCAGCGTGTACATGCTCAGTTCGTGGACAGAAAGCATCTTCTCCACCTCGCTGACGGACAAGGCTGACTCCTGGTCCTGCTTGTTGGCCAGGATGAGCACGGGGACCCCCTGGTTCTCCGACGTGCGGGTGATCTTGTGGAGCTCCACTTTGGCCTCCTCCATCCGCTCCACCTCAGTAGAGTCCACTACAAACACCAGGCCATCTGTCCGCCGGGTGTAAGACTTCCACAGGGGGCGCAGTTTCTCCTGGCCGCCAACATCCCACACCTGGAAGTTTATTGTCCGGGACGTCCCAACGGCCACCTTGATCTTCTCCGTGTTGAAGCCCTTGGTGGGGATGGTCTTCACGAACTCCTTCAGTTTGAGCCGGTAGAGCAGAGAGGTTTTTCCGGCCGAGTCCAGCCCGATAACAACCACGTGCAGGGACTGGAAGTTTGGCAGGAAGGATGTGTTAGGAGCGATATCAGTCAGCTGGTTTCCCATGGTTGCAGCCAGCAGATCACACCTACTTAGCGTCAGGTGACAGATTCCTGATTTAATCCTGTTTTAGTAGAGTGGCATTTGCTCCTGGTCCTCAGAGGCAGACGGGATCAGAGTGGGCTGGAGACCTTATCAAAACACAAACAGAGTTAATTTTTAATGAGAAGACAATGTGGGCTTCAGGAATGTCAATCACACCTAAGGGATTTTACAATAGATAGTGATGATTATCAGTAGATGTGATTTAATCCCAAAGTGTTTCCTGCTGTGTTCACGCCTGAGATTTATCACTTCAAGTCAATACTATTTATTAAATTCATGTCTGCACGCTTTTAAATGTGATTATACAAAACAATAAATGCTTTAGCCACATTACAGTGCCAAACAACAGCTAATTGGCTGGCTGGGGTTTCCTGGAGCCTAAATCCTCTTACCGCTGCTAAACCTGAGAGGCTTTTCTTCAAGGCAGATTGATTTCAATGCAGTACATGGATAATATGTATTCACTGTGTATATGAGGACTGATGCAGCAGCACTAATCCGGTTGTTGTTGACATCCTGATACCCATCAAACATCTGCCAGGAATTGTTTGTTTAGCATGAGCAGGCGAATTCTAATGCTGCATATTATTAGAAGAGTATCATTCAAGTATTATTGATTATAGAGGCTAAACTGCTCATTTATGTTGGTGAGTCGATGTTTTATGACTTTTTCTTTTTACATTATTATGTTGGGAATAAGCCACCGTCTTCCTCTCCAGCACGAAAACACCTAATTTATATTGCATGATGTTAACATAGTATTTAGTGTACGAACCCAAATAAATTAAACCATTTAAAAATGTCCTACTGTGCACAGAGCTTGAAATATAAACTTTAAGAGATAACCAGACTCAATTAAAGCTCAAAAATATAAAAATGCATGAGGGTTACACATCAGAAATAATTTAATCCCTAATATTAGATGCTGTCCTCGTTAATGTATGTTTAAAATAAACGTACCTCTTTATATGTGCAGCAAAAACATCATCCACAAGCAATAAACACGTCCATGGGGAACAGATTATGTTTGTCCCGGCGGAAACATCCGCTCCTGTTCTCATACAGCAGCACTGATCAGCTCCAGAGAGGCACGAGAGCTCAAAGCACCTAAAGCCCCGGTGACGTCACGGCCACCTAGAGAGATGCGCCCGCCCCCTGCAGGTACAGCGGTTAACTGCAGGTTCTCTAGTGGCACAAGCAACATAGATTTTTACCAACAAAATACAACAATTACAGTAGAATGGGTAAATGTAATATCATTTAATTATTTATACTGATGCAGGCATGCAAGTTGAAGTTGATTTTAATTATTTAGATTGCTATTGTTTCGGGAGTTTAATCTACAACAATGTATATTTCATCATTTGTGTTTGGTATGTTCATCTAGAATGTCAGATCCATAAAGTAAAAGGTGCAATATTTACTTTCAACAGCACATTTTACTAACAAAATTGCATATTTATGACTGAATTGCCTCATTTAATGGCAGCTCTACATGTTAACTTACCATAGCCTGTCTGTCAGCTAACAAAGCGTTGGCTCCACCCTGTGTCCACGATCAAGATCTCCAAGAGCAACATTTGGGTCTTGTTTTTTTTGTTTTCTATACATTGACATTATATTGGTTGTCAAATAAAAACAGATTCTAACAAACAGAATCTTAAATGCCAAAGTTTAATGCAGTGCAAATTACATAAGTCACGATTATCATAGGTGAGCATCATAACAAATATGGCATCGTTTCCATAAACATTGTGAATCAGTTAAGAAACAAACACATCGTCATACAAAATCCACATTTGTCACAGGAAATTGTGCTTTTACACAAATGTAGGACACCACTTATAGAACATATAATAGAAAAATAATTGTTTTAAGTTGTACAGAAGTGTATTTTAAGCATCAATATTTTTCTATTGAAGTGAATGATTGAAATCTTATTAAGGCATGCTAAAACAACATACATAATTAGATACGTGTTTGAATGTAACCAAGCACATTTTTCTCACTGTTTGCTAGAGGAATTTAAGTACACGTTGCTGCTAATACTTGATCTCTACTCAAGTAAAATGTTGAATGCAGGACTGTTTTCATTGGTGGTTTCCTGAATCACTGGATGAGATGCATTTTCACAGTAGTTATCTTCACAAAGTCACATCCCCGAAGAAGAGAAAAAAGGTGCAATGTAGCAATATTCATTATTTCACACTCCCACATTGGTGGTTTCCATTTGGTCTCATCATCTCACAGGATGAGGGGTTGTTGAGTTGGTGCCACAGTCAATATACTCATAGGTGTCCAGAGACAGCTGCTCCATGTGAGAGAGATAGGAAATATTCAGTGTCATTCTGGGGAGAAAAGAAAAATAATGTTTTAAAGCTGAACCAATCAATATTTATTGGATCATGGTTGAAATAACGATGTTTACAGTAGCACTGCATATTGTTTCAGTGTCTTTTAGCATCTGGTTTTGGTTTTCAACTTACAGAAAGAGCCAGATATTTTTCTAGTTTGTTGAGACCAAAACGTATAATTGCCTTTAAGGCAAGGCAAGGCAAGTGCTGTACAAAAATGAAAGACATTAAGAAAATGGCATTTAAAAACCGTCATTAAAAAGCAAAGATAATAAAAGAAACATTAAAAGAAAAAAAACATGGATAAAAGTTACAGTGCAGTTTAAGATGTGAATAGTTCAATTAAAAGCAGCAGCAAAAAGAAAAGTCTTCAGCCTGGATTTAAAAGTAGTCAGAGTTGCAGCGGACCGGCAGATTTCTGGTAGTTTGTTCCAGATATTTGGAGCATAATAACTGAACGCTGCTTTACCGTGTTTAGTTCTGACTCTGGGGACAGAAAGCTGACCAGTCCCTGAAGACCTGAGAGATCTGGATGGTTCATAATTTAGCAGTAGGTCAGAAATATATTTTGGGCCTAAACCATTCAGTGCTTTATAAACCAGCAGCAGTATTTTGAAATCTATTCTTTGACACACAGGAAGCCAGTGTAAAGACTTCAGAACAGGAGTGATGTGATCCACTTTCTTAGTGTCAGTGAGGGCTCGAGCAGCAGCGTTCTGAATCAGCTGCAGCTTTCTAATAGATTATTTAGTGAGACCTGTGAAGACACCATTGCAGTAGTCAAGTCTACTTAAGATAAAAGCATGGACAAGTTTTTCCAAATCCTGCTGTGACATTAGTCTTTTAATCCTAGATATATTCTTTAGGTGATAGTAGGCTGATTTAGTAACTGTTTTAATGTGACTGTTGAAACTCAGGTCAGAGTCCATGACTACACCTAGATTTCTGGCTTTATCTGTTGTTTTGAACATTGCAGACTGAAGCTCAGCGCTCACTTTTATACGTTCTGCCTTGGCTCTAAAAATCATTACCTCAGATGTATCTTTGTTTAATTGGAGAAAGTTCTGACACATCCAGTCATTGATTTGTTCAATGCACTTACTCAGTGTTTGCATTGGAGCATAGTCTCCTGGTGAAATGGTTACGTACATTTGTGTGTCATCCGCATAGCTATGGTAACTTATTTTGTTGTTTTTCATTATCTGAGCCAGTGGTAGCATGTAGATGTTAAAGAGAAGAGGCCCCAAGATGGAGCCTTGAGGAACCCCACATGTCATATTTGTCAACTCAGATGTGTATTTACCTATATAAACTAAGTTTTTTCTGTCCTTTAAGTAGGATTCAAACCAATTCAGAACTGTTGCCGAAAGTCCCACCCAGTTTTCCAGTCGGTCTAGTAATATGTTGTGGCCAACAGTGTCAAACGCAGCACTGAGATCTAATAATACTAACACATGAAGCTCAGCGCAAGTTCAACCAGGAAGACCGTCTTTACTCATTCATGTATTTCTATCTCCATGTTTCTACTCTCTCTCCTCTCAATAAGTGACCGGGGGCGTCACTCTTCAGCTTAGCCAATCACTTCGCTCTATTCCCAAGAGCCTATCATAGCGTGCCATCAAACCCTTTAAACTCTGCTCTTTCCCCTCTGACAGCGTCATTTCAGGTGACTCAACGCAACCCTCCTCCACCCCTTTTCACCTCCCGTCCCTCCGAATCCAGGGTCAAGCTAAACCACTCCTCCTCAGACCGACCCAACTATCCATTCACCACCACCAGTGTCTAGACCCCGGGGGGTTTTCATCGGATCGGTTCTACCCTCCCGAATGATACTTCCTGCACAACGGGGCCTAATCGCCAAAACTACTGTCACATTCATTTGTGTATCTGCGCATGAAATATGTATTATTACATCAAAACCGTCTCTCCTGATTGAATGAAGTTCTACCACTGTCTGTGTTTAAGTGGATGTCATTGAAGACCTTTACAAGAGCAGTCTCAGTGCTGTGGTTTGGTCGAAAGCCTGACTGGAACACATCGAAACAGTTATTTAAATGCAAGAAATTACTCAATTGCTGAAAAACAACTTTTTCAATGATTTTACCTAGAAATGGTAGGTTTGATATGGGCCTGTAATTGTTCATTACTGAAACATCTAGATTATTCTTTTTTAAAAGCGGTTTAATGACTGCAGTTTTCAGGGCCTGTGGAAAAACACCTGAGTGAAGAGACTTGTTTACTATGTGAAGTAGATCTGAGGCCATGCAATGAAAAACATCTTTAAAAAATCCTGTTTAAATAATATCAGCATAATAAGGCAGCAGGAGGAGGATTTCAGAAGTTGTATAATGTCCTCTAGGTTTTTATCATTAATCTGATGGAATTGTGTCATGGTGTTTGCATTTATTTTTAGGTGGACACAGGGACAACACATTTGCTGTACCTGATGCAGAGGCACTGACTGCTTGTCTGATTTTCTGAATTTTGTCAGTGAAGAAGGAGGCAAATGTATTGCAGGCCCTGGTGGATAGAAATTCAGAGGCTATTGACACTGGGGGGTTTGTTAGTCTGTTGACGGTAGCAAATAAGGCATGTGCGTTGTTTTTGTTTTTCGTAATGATGTCAGAGAAGCGTTTTTCAATTCCAAATTATAAAGGCCAAGTCTCTCTTTATAGATTTCAAAGTGAACCTGGAGATTTGTTTTTCGCCACCTACGTTTAGCTTTTCGACATTCTCTTTTTTCTGTTTTCACGCTCATGGCCTTTCTCCATGGAGATATTTTCTTGCCAGACACTTCCTTTACCTTAGTTGGAGCAATTGCATCTATAACATTTTTCATTTTTGAAAATGTTAGCAGGGGCAAGTGTGGAAGAAAAATTCTGAGTAAACATTTCCCTAGTATTTTCAGTTAAATATCGCTTTGTGGTTACCTCTTTTTGAACATTTTTGTGAACAGAAATAGAGCTCTCAAAGAAAACACAGGAATGGTCAGAGAGTGCAACATCAGTCACCACAACCTTAGAGATATTCAGACCCTTTGAGATAATTAAGTCCAGAGTGTGCCCCTTATTGTGCGTGGGCTCCGTCACATGCTGAGTCAGTCCATAGTTATCAAGAACACAAAACAGTTCTTTAGCCCCTCTGTCCTGGGGGTTGTCAACATGGATGTTAAAATCACCAACAATGACTAGACGGTCAAAGTCAAAACACACTATAGACAGCAGTTCAGTAAAGTCATCAAACAAGCTTGCACAGTATTTGGGTGGTCTATAGATATTTAGGAACAGAGCTCGAGAGGAGCATTTCAGCTGAAGGGCCACATATTCAAAAGAATCAAAGTTTCCATACGATGTCTTCCTGCATTGAATGGAATCATTGAACAAAATAGCAACTCCACCTCCTTTCTTGTGCATTCTTTCCTGACTCATAAAACTAAAGTTGGGAGGGGTTGATTCGATAAGAACAGCTGCACTGTTATTTTTGTTCAATCCAAGTTTCCGTTAAAAACATAAAATCGAGACTGTGCTCAGTGATAAAATCATTGATTAAAAATGTTTTACCTGCCCAAGACCTGACATTTAATAAAGCTAGTTTAACTTTGTTGAATACACTATCAGTCAGATGTGTTGTGACAAGGTGTGGCTGACATGGAATCACTTCTAAATTTGATAAACTCACACAAACGTTTGAGCGCTTCCCGTTTCTAAGCTGATTCACCGCTCTTAATCTATTACCTATCAACAGGTACATGAATTTACATGAATGCTTGTTTGCAATAACAACTTCATAAGGTTATAATATGTCGATGTTTTCAGATTGCTCAACTGCCAGAAATACATGAATGCTGTTTTAAATGTTATCACAATGACAAAGTTGGATTGATCACTTTTCCCTGTGGTAAAACCTGTTAAATTATCTTTTTAGAGGCCTTTTAGAGTTTTTGTATGTCCAATGAAAGCTGCCAAAGTTTGACTTTAATGTGTCTGTCTTATCATCTCTTCCCCTTTTATCTCCAAATGAAATGTCTCATTGAAAGATTAACCCTTTATATAAAAAGAGAACCAGTGTGTGGCTGTCGCTGTGACCACAGCCACACAGTGACATGTAGTGGGTGTGAGAAAGGCTGTGAGGCGGCTGCCTACTCCGGTGTTTGTCAGATTGAGATTGATACTTACTGCAGCATCAGAAATAACGAGTGAATCTTGAAAGAGCTCGACTTGCAGTAAGTGCTGAAAGAGAAAGAGGCAGTTGAGTTTAGACATATAAACAATAATGATGGAGGAATATGTTACTTTCTCACAGTATTTCAAACTTACTTCAAGCCTTCATCAGCAATAGACAGGTCAATTTGAATGGTGTACTGCAAAAGAAGGAGGAAATGAATTGCGTGTCAAATACAACAACAGTATGAATGTGAGTCATCCTGCGTGTAACTCACCGAATTTTGTGAGCGGGCCTGGATGTCAGTCATGTTAGAAATCTTGGCTTTACCCACAATTGCATTAGAGATAAGACCCTGAACGTTAAACTCCACAATCTTCACTGGGACATAGTTCTGGTTGGAGATGTTGACAAGATTCTAGAAGAGAGAACACACACAGCTGGTCAGGTGCAGCAAACACACCTTTCCATCATTAAAAAGTCAGCAGGAACTTTGTCCTGTAAGTGCAGCAGCTATCTACAGTCAGTCATGTGAATGCAACTCAGACACTTCTTGGTGGACGAGGTTTTCACACCTACAATAAAAATATGGTTGCTCAGAATGTTCAGCAGAGAGCAAATAAATGTCACACTTTGTATTGCACACTTACACACAGTATAACACACTGTAGCTGTGTCTCAGGGGCTAGCTTTAGGGTTGACATTGTTATCTTTCTTTTCCAGCTGTTTGATGGGTGCTAACTAGAATATGCTTGGTTTCAATCTATGTTTTATAGTTACTGCTAACAACAAGTTACACATTTGTTCAGCATCAGAGTTGGCAGGGCTTTGCGGGAAAAAAACCACACGGCCAATGAAAACAGCCCAAAATCAAACTATACCCCCACCAAACCATATACTGACACACTGATTTGTTCATTCCAACAGCATCTCTATCATTGCCAAATGTAGTGTTTCTTCTACAAAGTAAGACCACACATGTTTAGTGTTCCAGCATACACAGTTTTCCCTGAAGAGTTATTTCCCTTAGTTCCTAAAAAAACGTATTGTGAAATGTAATTATTATATACAGAGCTAGAATAAAATCCAAAGATAGAACATCTTTGGGTTTTATGACTCCGCTCACCAGGTTATAGGTTAGATCCTGGTTTCCAAAATAGCATTACTTCATCATTTTTGATTTTAAGATATTTGTGTCATTGTTTTTATAATGAGAGCGTAAATTCCTGACTTATAAGTCCAAGAATTTTTTTTCGAAAGATTGGAAGAAATTCAGTATTCTGAGATATAGCTTTCACGAGAATGGCATGCAAGGTATATATAATGGCATCATTTTTGTTTATGTAAAGTCAAACAATACTCAATTCAATTGTGTGTGTGTGTATGCATAGGAGTCAGTTTGGTAAGATGTTGATAGGAGCAAATTATCTAATGACATACATTTAAAAGAAATATACATTATTCATTTAATTTGCATACACAATAGGCCAACAAGTGATTGAAACAATTCATCCCGCGATAACATTTCAAATGCAACCCAATAATATTATCACTACTACTTATTTTATATATATATATTATTAATGTATGAGCAAGACTCTGGTCCTGATTCACTTTCAAACTAAAATATAGCTTCTTTAATTTTGGCGTTGCACTTTTCTTTACCATAGACACAAATGCAATCCCTGCACATTTTTATACTTCCAAACAACAAAGAGGTGGCACAGATGTACATGTAACAGCATTACTGTTCCTTTTACTTACTGTGACCTCCATTTTCACAGTGTCTGGTGTGAAGTACACCATTACTGACAGCACGGACACAGGCGTCAGAGTGACACTCCGGGGGAAGAGGAAGAAGAGGATGAGTGTGCAAACGAGGAGACACAAGACCATCGACACGCACACGTACAGCTTCCTGAAAAACAATACACACATGCTGAATTATATGTGTCATGGTGATACCCTTACTTACATGTGCATGCGCATGTCAAGAGACATAAACACACTCACTCACACACACACACACACACACACACACACACACACACACACACACACACACACACACACACACACACACACACACACACACACATGCATTCATAGGTCACTTACGTGCGCCTTGGTTTCAGCCTCACATCATTACAGGGTATTACAGCCACTAGCTGGTCTTCATGGCCTGGCAATACAAGAACACAGCTCGTTTAACCACAAAAATGATCTGAAACTGGCATCTCGTAAATGGTTAGTATGTCTGGTTCTGTTTAGGAAATGTAACATATCATCTTTAATAGTTGTAATAATAAAAGGGCATATTTCAGTACTGTATAAAATATTGCTTTCCTACTCATCTGTATCCTCTGATGGTCTGAAAGACTTGATGAAAAGGATAACCGACACTTACACTACTTTTAACGTATATTCATTTATTAGTTAGTAAAACTATTATATTCTCTCGTGATATTTTTATGAACTACACATAAATTGTTTCCTCACTTTTAGTATGACTGCCACTTGGTTACTTTTAGATGCAACATCGTTTGTGTATTGTGTGTGATCTGTAATCAAATCTCCATTTATATACATTTAATGGACAATAACATAATTTAAATCTGAATCTGAATATATTTTATTCTGAAAAGGAAAAGTGAAGCCTTTATCACTGCTTTGCTCTTTGCCAATAACGGTGCATATGTCCAAACAGTACAGAGACATTTTACTGGTGGCTATCTGTGTGCCACTTTCAAACAACCTCCTGCCTTTCATTTTTTTTATATTTCTTGCCTTTGTCATCTGACGTGAGATTGTTTTGTACATGACATGACATGTCATTTGTTAGACGCTTTTATCCAAAGCGACTTACATACATTCAGTACTGTGGACAATCCCCACAGGAGCAATTTGGGGTGAAGTGTCTTGCCCAGGGACACAACGACATGCTGACTGCAGTGGGACTCGAACTTGCTATCCCCTGATTCAAAGTCCAGCACACTATCCACTGAGCCACAGCCTCCCTCCTTTGTAACTCTATGGTTTAAAGAGATATTATTTTCCAAAAACATGAAGTGAAAGTGGAACAGTTGTGGCAAAACAAAGTTCTGCTGCATACACGTTTGTGACTCTCGTTTTGACATAGTTCCTTTAGTTGTTGGATGTGAAATGAAACATAATTTGAGGATGATGGTCTCAGTTGGCTGCCCTTGCACTAAAGCTGCTCAGAAGGCCGTCAAAATCATCAAAAAAGAAGACCAACCTCTGGGAATCCTCCCGGTGCCGCGACATGTGGGGCAGGTGTCTCCTGCAGGGGTCCCATTGATGGCGCCGTACAGAGGGAAATACTTCAGAGCTTTCACCTTGTCCATCCCTTTAATCACATCAGGTTCTTCTGTGGTTTTGCTCTTCTTTGCTGGTGTAACCATTGCACCTTTAACAGAAGAAAAAAATAGATGAAAAAGGCTGAAATATTATTACTTGCTCACAAACATATTAGCCAAATAATATCTGCTATGGAATATGTTCCTTTCCTGGAGCAGAAGTCAAGTTTTTCTGATCCAGTCTAAAGAATTTAGCATTTATAGAGGCCATTTTCTCTTAAAAGTAAATCCCTTACTGTATGTCCTCGTTGACAGGACAGTCAAACACAAAGTGAACTTCATTCTCATAGCCCCGTACATACATTTTGTTTTTCACTAAGATAGGACTATGTTCACATTAAGGATGGGAAGGCTCAGAAACAACCAAAACATGATAAAAGCAACTTCTTTCCCCAGATATATTTTTGTTGTTGTTGAACAACCTCAAGTGGAACTAATTTCTCTAAATGGCCAATTAACGCCCATTCTTATGCTAAATGTCCTCATGTGATCAGAGTTCATGGTGTGGAAGTGACAGAAAAACTCCAGCAGTGACTTATGTTATAACTGACTTCACAAAGAAATGAATAAATATAATGCATATATTCAAAAATGCTGTGAGGAAAAGGTCTTGAAGAACATATGTGATAGCATTTAGGAATTTAAACACATTCTGGATTTGGGCTTTTGTTTTGCAAAGTATATTAGCTTTTAGTATTCACTTGTGTTGTACCATCTCCTACAGGATTAAATGATTATATGAAACATTTTTACCAGTATCTTTCTGGCAATGGTGCAATAACTAGCACTTTCTGTGTAGTGTTACAACATTTCACTGGCGGTTGAGTTTATTAATCAGGCACAGAGTCTTTCTGTTTTCACAATGTGATTAACTTGTGAAACCAGGATCAAAGCTGGTATAACATCTAAAAAGCAGTAGCCTAGTATTAATTGTAGTAATATATACTGAGCATTATGTATTTGAAGGCAACTGCTGCCATACATACATAACATTAAAAAAGCCTTATTTTGAACTTTGACTTCAACAAATGGATTTGGACTCCTTCCCGTTTTTCTAAAAAGAAGCTGAGCTGGTTTGTTTAGTTTCTTATGTTGCTCTGTAGCTCCACTGACTTAGTAGGCCCAATACAAGTACAATGAAAAACAATCTTACAATACAGCCTACATTCTTCTTTCTAGGAAGTGTCACTGGGTGTTCTCACTTTATTTTGAAGCCCAATTTTAAAATAAAGTTTGAAATAAAACACACAATTAATAACTCTTCAAACATAAAGAGGAAGTTATCTTGTAAAATATATAAATCATGCCTATTTAATGGCTTATCAGGAATTGATCCTACAAATTGAAGTTATATTCACCTGCATAGTTGGAAAGAATATAAAGGGTAAAATTACTACTGTATTAACAGCAGACATTTCAAATGCAGGACTTGTAGGCCTACTTGTTATTCTTCCGTGTATTTATATTGCAGTATTGCAAATGATACTTAAATTAAAGATGTGAATACTTCATCCACCAGATAGATAATAGCATTTTGGATGCGTTTCATTTGGATTTAATGTTAAACTTTACATTGTTTATTAGATTCAAAACTGACACCTCACATTAGATAACCTTTATCAAAGATGGAGCAAACAGAAGCGATGGTTTGCACTTTAGAGATCATTAATCACTAATCTATCTGACACCATATTATTAGCAACATGCCTTTAGAAACCTAAATTGTCGCAGTGAAACGTGGCTTAGCAAAGACGCAAAACATGATGAGATGATTGATCCCGCATTACTGCAGCGGGCAGAAGTCAATAAAAACAAGTGTTTACCTGACAATACGACTCAGCTCCGAGTTTAACTGCTCCACCGCTTACTTCTTTGTAGTTTTAAAAAATATATGAAAGCTAAATGGTGGCTGCCTCATACCTCTACAGAGAACAGTGGGAGGATCACTTCCTCCTTTCGGTGACAGCTCGGTTACGGCTGCAGATCACATGTGCTGCTTTCCATTTACTTTCCTTAAAGGCTATAGAAATGGCAACACATTTTCACACCTAATCTAAAAAAAGTGCAACTAACCCCAAACGTTATAGTTCAAGCTATTTTGATCCTGGCCTTTTATTTGTTATACCATGGCCAGATTAACCTGTTATTGAGCCAAGGGGGACCCTCCTGACGCCAAAAAATGATGACCCCCAACCTTAGAGTATCTCGAAGATTTTAATTTAAATCACAGTCTATTGCTTGATTGAGCATATGAGGAACAGATGAAGTATTGCCATATTTATACCTTAACAATTGTTACAAACTGGACATATTCTGAATTAAAGGGGCCCAATATCCTTATTGGGGGTTTCCCTTTCCTGTAGTGTTTTCTCCCACATAATAGTTTTACTGCCCCATTAGTTCTGGGACTTGTAGTATCAGCAGAGGTGGAAGAAGTATTTGGAACCAGAGTGTCGGAATACTCTGTTACAAGTAAAAGTCCTGCATTCAAGTACAAAAGTATTTGCATCAAAATATACTGAAAGTACCAAAAGTAAAAATACTTATTCTGCAGATTGATCCATTTCAGAAAAATATACATCATATGTTTTCATTATAATTATTGATGCATTAAAGTTGTCAAAGCTGGTAAAGGTGCAGTTTTAATGACTTTGTATGCTGCAGGGTAGCTTTTGAATTTACTCCAGGTGTAACTAATGTCTGATTTAAGAGTTGATTATATTTCACATTATTCATCCAAATCTGCAAAGTAACTAAAAGTGTTAAATAAATGTAGTGGTGTGAAAGTACTCGAATTATGAATTATAGTGGAGTAGAAGTAAAAAGTAGCATAAATGGAAATTCTCAAGTAAAGTATCTCAAAATTGTAATGAAAGCTTTAGCGCAAGTTCAATAAGGAAGACCTAACTCGAGTCACTCACACGTCACTCTATGGCTCCCTTCCCCCCTCATTAAATATGAGGGCGTCACGCCTCAGCAGCCAATCGCTGCACATGCTAAATGCCTTAAATACCTGCTCTTCCTCCCTGTCAGTTGTCATTGCAGATGATCACACGCAACCCGCCTCCACCCCTCTCGCCTCCTGTCTCCTTCAGGACAAAGCTAAACCTTCCTCCTTCAGACCGGTCTCACCTACTCATCACCACCACCAGTGTCTAGACCCCGGGGATTTCATCGGAGCGGTTCTTTCCCTCCTGAATGATTATCCTGCAAACCGGGGGCCTAATCGCCAAACACCATTACATTCTCCTGTTGTACTATCATGGCAATCATTTCATTCATATGACGTGTAAACAATAAATATGTAATTCTTACATCACGTCTCTCCGGTTTGAACTCAAGTAGGCTACTTACGCCACTTAGTATCAGACTGCATGTTGTTACCAACAGGGTGATGCCAAATCAATCATGACCCTAATTAAATCCCGTTGATGATAGTATGTTCTTTTTCTTAAAGCTTGGGTAGGAACATTTGGGGAAGCAAGCCAGAGTGAGTTAGAGATTTAACATGACCCAACCGAAAAAACAATCCCAGTGTTGCGAACTGTAAATATTGGTCAAGGTGAGATTTCCATATCTCGGATTATGATGACGCAGACACCACAAATATGTCAGAGCTGGAAACCCTGACTAACCAGAACCGTTTTGGGAAAAGGGCTTAAAGAGACAAGCACTTAAAATGGAGCATTTCAGACTGGTGGTGATGACAAGTATGCTCAGATACAGTATGAGAAAATTTATGTTTTTAAAACATTTATGTACTTTCTAGTACAAACTCAAAACTGTATGAACCTTAAAATGATATGTCAAGTGCAGTGAGTCAGCCTCTTGGCTACCGACATACATTAGTAATGCAGCTTTGATGTACACAAGCGGTCATAAAATATGTTAAACCCAACCTCATTCTGTCAGAAATGCAGCATAATCACTCCTTTATAGTATCCAACTTCTGAACTTTTGACAAACTCCATATAACCTAGTACAGCCTGTCCTCCTGTATATCAGATATATAGTGTACCATGACCTAGGCTACATCTAGACATTTGGCATTACAAAAAAAGAGACAAGCGAGATGTGCAAATATTTTATTGGCGGATTGACAGTAGAAGGATATTTAATGTATACACTCTGTGACAGAGGAATAAGTTGACAAGCATAGTAGATATATTCAGAATTATTCTCCAGAGCATGATTTTTTTTAAACGTGGGTGATCAACAAAAGAAAATCCTCAAGCACCCAAACAGGATTCAAAATAACAGACATCAACTTAAATCTGCACACTCACACCACAAATCACCACATGTATATTTCAGTAAACTAATAATGTTTTTATAAAGGCAATGTAAGGAAATAAGATATACTTGGTTCCACTATGAGAGTGAGGAATGTGTTGTTAGAGACCTCTCGGGTTTAAGTACGTGTTAAATGCCTGTTTCAGCTGGATATGCGAATAGAGAAGATGCAGGCAGGATGTAGGAAGCGGACACTTTCTACCGTGACTGTGCTAAGACCACGAGAAAACACATCTCTAAAGCCTCTACCTGTCATGCAGGTGTCTCCTAAAAAGCGATAGAAAACATCCGAGTCAGTTTAAGTATACATTCCACATGTCAACGTCTAAAATAACAGTACTCTGATACAGAAAGAAAATTGCATTGTTTAGGCAGAGTTCACTACGATAATCGGGAAAAGTTTAAATATTCTCATTTCTGCGCTGCTGACCCTTACCACCCAGATATCGTTAGCTACGTTAGCTTCAGTAGAGCTGTCTCTTTCTATCTTTAATGACATTCAACAGTATTAATTTTCCTCGCTCTATTTGTGAGAGGAATCTAGCCAAGCCCTGTCAAAATACTTATTTTTCAGCGCCGAGGAAGCAGCAACAACAGCCACACAAACACTAAAGATGAAGAGCGGGAATACGCACTTTTTGCCTTGTTGAAGCTACACAAGGCATGGCAAAGGCTAACCTCTATTTGTAAGAATTTACAAGCGTAGATATGGTTAATTTTGTCAAAAATGTTGAAGCTAAATCAAAAGGCAATGGCATAAAAAGCCAATAGGCGCATTCACACCGGAGTACTTTTCCCACTTTAGTTCCGATATAGTTCCGAAATGTCGCGTTCACACCAAAAAGAGCCGGAACTAAAATTAGTTCATCAGAACCTTTTTTACCTTCCGTCCCTGCTAGAGAGCAGGGACTTTCGTGGGAGAAAAAGGTTCCTATGTCTGATTGGCTGGGCGGATTGCAAACCACGCCCCGTAAAACTCCCAAAAAGTTTTGTGAAGCCGCCATTTTATTATCCTCGCATTAGCATTATTAGCATTAGCATTACCCCAGCGCACAAACGCAGAGAGACTAACTTATGGCAACACAAAAGAAAACATGGGAGCGGTGGAGATGAGGAGGTGTCGGCGTTCTGGCGATTTACTCGGAAGGCTTCAGTAGAAGTATACGCCGTGAAGTTGTTTGCGGCCTGCCAGTAAACCCAAAGCAGAAGAAGAAGAAGAAGAAGTGACGTCAGCAGCTTCATTTGCCTAATCCACCCCCCAGGGACTTATTCTGGTGTGAACCGTGAACGCGATCTGCTCTTTAGTTGATGAGAACTAAAGAGTTCTCATGAACCTTTGTGGGAAAAGTACTGCGGTGTGAAAGCGCCTAATATCTATTTTCTCTCTGATGAACAAGTCCAAGAAATAAATCCTCTTTAGAGACATTGCCGTCTTATTATCGCTAATATCAGTTTCTAAATAACCATCCACCCTTTGGAAAAGTATTGAATTGCACGAATCATAAACATCTTTCTTTACATAATTTAAAACAAATCTAGACACTGGAAAGGGTGATATATACGCAGGTCATAATCTTAATATTATCTTGACGTAGGCTAATGTTTAAAAGTCAAATAGGCCTACATTTATTTTTAGAGTAGCGTTTCCCTGGCTCAGTGCGGAGCATTGACAGCTTTGCTCTGGTTGTCCTCGGCGATTTGCACCAGCTCGTTGACGGTGTGCAGCAGGCTGTAGCCGTGCTTCCTCAGCAGCCGCTGGTTGAGCCGCTGGTCTCTGAAGCCCATCTCCAGCAGCATGGCCATCAGGGAAGGGTCCTGCCGGGTGGCCGGGTCGATGCCTCGCTGCAGGGGGGGAAACAAAACAGGGATGAGATGGTGAGATACGGGGACATACAGAGTAAATACAGACAGAGTTTACTACGTTTGAGGCAAATATTCTACTATATATTTATTGGACAGCCTTAGTTACATTTATAAAAGTCAGATGTTTATTAAGATAAGATGATAAGATGTACTTTGCAGCAGCACACAAAAAACAAGGCATTGCACATAAGAGAAATTAAAAGAGTAGTAATAAACAATTCTAAAATGTAAACATCTCAAAATATAAATTATTTATAGTATCATTATTATTATAAAATATGAATCAAGTAATACATTATTTTATATTTTATAATTGCCACACCTTTACCTGTGGCTTATTATAATCAGCAACAAGGTATTGTTATATTATTATAATAATATAATGTGTATATTATGAGTATAAAATGCCATTCTACATAATGAGTACCTTTTCTTTTTGTGCTTTACATGTACATGTAGATGCTGATGAGTACTTTAGTACTGTTACAATAAAGTAAAGTTTTGAATGCAGAATTTTTACTTGTAACTGAGATTTTCAACATATTCCTATTACTGCTTATACTTTGTAAAAGGTCTGAGTACTCCATACCTAAAACAGAGCATTTGGTTAATGGAACGTGTTGGCAGCAGCTTTATACTTTATACTTATTGACACAATTCAGGGAAAATATGTGGGGTCACAACGGTTAATGAACTTCTGGTCTGACTCACTACACAGGCGAGTAGCTACTGAAACAATACCAATCATATAATTCCCGAGCTCTCAAATGCACTTTTAACTTTCATTTGATTAAATGTTAGGATTAACAGCAGTTTGTCAAAGTTGCATTCTTTTCCCAGCTGAGTTACAAAAGGGCAATGGAAAAAACCTTTAAATGCAACACTGACATATTATTTCCTTCTAAAGCTGTTATGATGAACTTTGAGTTCTGACCAGGCTTGGATTTTCATCATTTTAGAGGCAAGGCCATTTGGCCTTTGGTGTCACACGTTATTTCAGGGTGGAAAGGCCACATGCCAGAGCACAAAGGCCATTGAGGGAAAAATTAGGATTTGGAGCTTACAAATAAATAACTTTGGAGCTTACAAATAAAAACAAATCACTTTTTTAATATCAATAATGTCAAACATTATATCATATAGGCCTATGCCTCCTTAGTATTACCCATGGTATTACCATATACTTTGAATAATTAGTGTTTGGTTTGTTTTCCATCTACTACTTCTCCCATTCACAAATCCGAAATCAAATCAAAAATTCTAATAATATGTAACAAATATATTCCATTTCAGAGCAAAATAAACAGCCTTCAAGGGTCAAATTCTGCACATACATCATTCAGCAGTGCACAGTGAAGCTCCAACATTCAACTGTATGAACAAGCAATACTTTGAAATGCAAAAGTCTGTGTGTACGTGCGTGCGTGCGTGCGTATGTGTGTGTGTACGAGTCTCTTTAATCAAATCCTCACAGCTCCTCATATCTGTTCAGAAACTAGACAAAAGTTAAAGATGTACAAACCACAGACTGTCTATGTCATGGCGAATACAGTCACTGCTTTAATTCTGTCTTTAGGACGTTGTTGTGAGTTTGGACGGAGCAGCTACAACGTTAGTTTAGCACAGTGGTTCTCAAAGTGGGGGGTGCGCCCCCCTTGGGGGGCGCAGAGGCATGCCAGGGGGGGCGCGAGAGACCAGGAGGAAAAATGGATATTGATATTGAAACACAGAGACCCAGACGTAATAGTACTGTACTGTATCATATTATTTTCGAATCAATAATTCGGGTCGGCCTTGGTCAAGCCCTTTTGACCCCCCCCCGCTCAAATGACACCATAGAGGAATGTAACGGGAGTTGACAGGGGACTCACGAGTGCCTATTTTCGGACACTTTTTTTCACTTTCCCCCGGTTTTATTATTTTTTTGGCTATTGGACATTGCCCGGTCTCGGGTGTCCCCCCACGGCCTGTGTCCCACCCCCCCCACTCATCCATATATTAACGGATTTTGACCATTTTTGTTGCATTTTTCTCCTCTCCTCTCACTGATCGAATGGCAACCCACTGTCGGAGGGCCTCCACGCCGGCCGGGCCTAGTGCCGGTGCTCTGGTGGTCGGTTCCTCCGAACTACGGGATCCACTCTGATGGCCGGGAGGGTGTGCTGCGTTGGGGTGGGGGACTTCCCCCACTCTGCGTGTCTCTTCCTTCCCGGGCCGGCCGATATAATTCTGCCGTCCAGGGGTCCCACGGGTCCCGCAGCGGGGTGGAGGTTCCCAGCTGGAACCTCCCCACCTCCGCCGCGGTGCAAACCGGCAAACACGGTTGTTTCTCGAACCTTCCACTGTTGTCTAGCGGGTGTAACTAAAATACAAGATGTCGTATTTATATATATAAATAAATATATATCTATATATATATATAGATAATAAGTGTCAGTACGATTTTATTTTGTATTTGCGTGCATTTCCTGTTCGGAAAGTGGCGCTGCGGCTGTACTGATAGTAACAACAATACAAGGTGTCCGTATATATATATATAGATATATACATATGTATATAATAAGTGTCACGATCCGATTTTATTTTGTATTTGCGTGCATTTCCTGTTTGGAAAGTAGCACTGTACTGATAGTGGTGATTTTATTTTGGAATTATTAGCGTGCACTTCCTGTCCTGAGAGTGGAGGTGTCCTGAGAGTGGAGGTCTGCACCGGAACTGAGAGTGGAGGTCTGCAGGCAGACCCCTCTCCCTAATTCTGCCCTACGCTCCCAAAAGGGGAGGGACCTGAAAGGACAGCTAAATGCACAGCAGTCCATTTCCACCAGGCCCAACAACAAGAGCAAGGCTGCTTCCAGAGCATCTTATCGTGTCAGTCACGTTCTTGCGAAACACATGAAGTCTTTCAAAGACGGCGAAGTTGTGAAAGAAGCTTTCCTGGAGGCTGCCGACACACTTTTGGGGGACAGTAAAAATAACAGTAGCATTTCAACAGGTTTTTGATAATAAAAACTCAAGTTAGATACCGTTATTAATCAGCTGTAAGTTTAAGTTTGTTTGAATTTATTCATTATAATTATTGTACAAAATGGTATAAGAATGCAAACATTAAGATCTGTTCCGTTTAAATTGATTATAGTCTATTATCAATTCAGGTTAAGAAACTAGTGTTGCTTGCATCCTATTTTTAAAAAAGGCATTTATTTTTATACTCTACTAAAATGCAAAAAGGGTTTGATTCTATTAATTTTGTCTTTTTTATTGCACTTTGGCAGCAGATTCCTGTGTAGCTTCAGATCTGAGTTGTCTTATTACTAAGCCTCATTTATACTTTTGTAGCAACACTATTTTTATATAATGGCAAAGAAAGGGTTCAGTCTTTTCTTTTTTCCCTGTGTCATATGTGGCAGCACTGTTCAATGTTTCTTGAAAACATTACCCACTGTAGTAAGTGACGTGTGAATAAACTCCAACTCCGTATCAACAACACTGTTGTGTAACTTCAGTTAAATACTTGTATGTGTGTAGATTAGAAAGAGGTCAAATAAAGGATCTGCTGTATTTTATGAAGTATTCATCGTACAAAGGTCAGTTTTATACAAGTAGAAGTGTGTATTACCTGGTAGTAGGCTGTCAGTAATGGCTACGCCTCTCTATTTGGACTGGTAGATCTCGGCAGACTGGCAACTTTAAAAGTAGCTCTCGGTTCAAAAAAGGTTGGGCACCCCTGGGTTAGAGCAATGCGAATATTCGCATCGCGTCCGTTGTGAACGCAGCATAATGCTGTTCAGAAACCACTGTTCTGACGCTTTTAAAGCAACTTCGAGATTTTACAGTATGAGGGGCCCAAAGGCCATGGTGGCCGTAGGACGTACAATTATTTGTGGGGCATAACGGCCAGACCGAGGGGCTACGACGGCCATGGCCGCCGTGAAAATCCCACCCTGATTCTGACACAGAGCAGAATTAGCTTTCTTTTGATGTCCATTGATGATATTCACTTTCCTTTAAGCTCGGTTTGTTCTAAAACCCCTCAGTGGATATATCTGGCTCTTTAGTTTCTAAACGCTCCACTAGTTTCACCAGCTGGTAGCTTATTTTGTCCCTCTGCTGTCTGGTGCTGCACAGGTTGTGTAAAGGGGGTTTACCAGACATTGTTTGGTTGGAAAAAGCTGCCTGCTATTACTGGAAATGTGAAACAGAAAAAGTAAAGTGAGTGAGAAAACAATTACCTGTCTGATGGGGATCTCAAAATGTTGTTCATACATTACATCTCTGTGGATTTGTCACACCTTTCATATTACACATAGAAGTAGGACCTGTTGTTATTATAACATATTCCTTCTTTAAATATTATCGATCACATTTTCGCAAAATTATCACACATTTTCTGGGGAAAATGCTGATGCAAAGATCATAAGATACTAGAAATGTAATATCTCTCACGCATGTTCTCGCCAATGTGATTACATTACATTTAACTCTTAAAAGGGGCCATATTATGATCATTTTCAGGTCCATATTTGTATTTTGTGCCTCTACTGTGACATGTCTCCATGCTTTAATGTTCAAAAAGCTCTTTATTTTTGTCATACTGCCTGTGCTGCAGCACCTCTTTTCACCCTCTGTCTGAAACCAGAGCCCAGTCTGCTCTGATTGGTTAGCTGGCCGGCTCTGTTGTGATTGGTCAACTGCATAGACATGTCCAACCCCTTATATATCATGTACAATGTGTTGGAGCGCTAGCCGATAACATGTTACTATGTCACGGAAGAAAACAAAGGATTCCGATGGAGGTGTTTCAGGCAAGGGTTGGGGGAGGGAACTTTGTGATTTCAGATTTTGCAGACAATTTACATGCACACAAATCTATATAACAAACTACAGAAAAGGGAAAACTTTTGAGTTGAAAAAACTGGGGCCTTTTAACAAAACATTTTTTATAATACATTTTGAAATGGAAAATGAATATCATCCACTTGCCCTTCAGTACGTAATCTTCCCACTATAACTCTGATATACTGTTTGTTTTGCTTAGCATTTATGATACACAAAACAAAGGGTTTCTGTGTGATGTACCTGTATTGAGCAGTTTGGTCCTGTGAAGAGAGCTTTATAAGCGGACGCTGCCACAGAGAGGGCCCCTTTGACAAGTCCCTCGGTGATGCCTCCTTGGCCCCTTGTATAAAGACAGGGATGTGGTTAAGCTGGGTTGTATAACAATATAGCAGAGAACAACATGTTCTAGTTAGACTTGTTTATAAAAAAGTACATGTGCATCACATTTCTGATTATAGACTCTGTTAAAAGCTATCAGATCAGGTTGTTACACAAATAAAATATAAAAACAGATGTGTGTCGTCAACACAAAAGAGAAACCAAAGAAGGAATCTGCTTTATGAAAGTGAAATATATCAAATTTTACTCTTTGTTGTATTGCACCTTGGCTGCAAAGCGTTGCTGGGTCTGGGGTTGTATGTCTCAAAGGCACTGGATGCTGAGCCTGCTGATCTCGACAGACCAGATGATACTGCAAAGCAGATTTTTTTTTAAAAAGAAAAGAAAAAAAGGAACAACACATGCAAACACAATATTAGAGGAGGAACAAAGCATTCTGCTGAAGCAACAGATTCTGAAAGCTTGTGTGCGCTCTCACTTCCTGTCTTCCCACAAAGGACTACAATGTGTTTCCTTTCTGTGAGGCAACACTGAAGTCAATCCACCACAGTCTTATTTATATAACACCCAAAACACACTGGTGAAGATGTTGTGTTGATATTGCTGTGTCATGCCGAGTGGTTTTATGCTCCACGTGTGCCAGTTTGTACTATGACACTGATGTGCTTAAAGCTGGGCGGACAAACAGTGAAACTCACCATTTAGGTGGACCCTCGGTTGATGTGGCTCATATGGATCACAGGCTGGAGGACTGGGATCCTCGGCCAGGTACAGTGCCTCAGACCTGAAGCACAAATCAAACAAAGACGACTTAAAACATATAAGTCTGTAGCAGGCAGAAGAAGAAGAAAAAACGAATCATTTAATGCTCTATTTAATCCCAAATTACTTTTTTTTTAAGTGGCAATAGACAAGTTATTTCCTTTAACTTATTGTGAAGTAAATGTTGATCGCAAAATGTAATAGGTAAAGAATAATGAAACCATCCGTGTTTAGATTGGTTCCCTAAAAGGCTAGCTTTCAAAATGGAATTCTGCCTGACCAGGTTTGATCTCTTGGGAAAATAAATGCGTAATTTACGCACAAAGCCGTGGAAAACAAAATGCAGAGTGCCGTGTGCAAAGTAGCAGCATTAGTTAAACGACGCTAAGGGAAGTTATTTGCATAATTTGCGCTGATGATCTGAATACGTTTCTAATTTTGTCGCTTGAAGTAAGCAATCTGGTTTTCATTGTGACAGAGGCGGCGATAATAATACCACTTGAAAAAGCGCAGTGATACAACCTTGTCAATGTCACATAAATATTTGAAACGTAAACATTTTATGGAAACAATCAACAGTTCAAAAACTGTTATCAGTTGGAGGATAATTCCCCATTTGCTAATTTACAAATACATTTAAAGCTTTTTCATTTATTTAAAAAGAGACATTCTGTATTTTAGCTTTTGTAACCAAAACTGCAATATATCGTCATTAATTAACTTTCATACTGGGTTCCCATAGGGATGGTCATGTGTATTTATACTTGACATTGTTAACGAGGAAAACGAAGACATTTCAACCACAAGAACAAAAAAACTGAAAGAAATCGAGCTTAAATACTGATTCACATCCAAAAGTTAGTTCCACACATGCTAAAGACCATTTGTGTGATCTAACCTGGGTGAGTAGAGTGTGGGGGGGGGGCAGCAGGGGGTCAGGCAGCACTGGTGGAGGCACCACTACAGGCGTGAGCGTCACGGCGTCCAGGGTTTGGGAGGCGCACAGCATCTGGTTCACACTGCTGTGGGGGGGGGGGCCGGGCGGGGGCCAGGTGTTCACAGACAAATCCTCTGCATCCACCGCCTCCTGCCTCTCTCTCAGCGGGGCCACGTCATCCGGCTCCGAGTTGGAGTCTTCCTCTTCCTCCTCCTCCTCCTCCTCCTCCTGCAGTGCGTCCGGATCGGCTGGGGTCACATCATCAGCAGCAGCAGAAGTGGGGGGGGCGGGGTCCGGCTGTGACATGGCGGAGCTGTACATGGACTCCCCCAGAGGCCGGCTGGTGTCAAAGCAGTCTGGGAGGACGATGATGTAATCGTCGCAGGAGGAGACTGAGGAGGTCTGACTGCTGACCTGAGACACAGGAGGAGAAGATGGTGGATGTGATTACATTAAGACAACTGATGTGGTTAGAAGGGAAATGTGGATCTGAAATAATAAAGCAACTCTTACAGATAAGATGCCAGAGAAAGGTTTCAGTTTAAAAAAGGTTAAACCCTCACCTCCTCCCAGTCTTCTCCTTTAGTTCCACCCTCCTCTTTCTCCTCTTGAATTTCTGCCATGCTCTGCATGTCATCAATGACTTGTTCGTTCTCGATATCACGATGTGAACTCGTATGCAGGTTTTCATTTGCTGGTTCCAGCAAAACTGAAAAAAAAGGCAAAAAAAACACACAATTAGCATCTAACAATTGCAGATATCAAACTGTCGGTGTGCAATTAAACCCACAGATGTAATACAAATAAGTTAATAAACAGGAATAAACAGAATCCTGGAAGTGTTCCACTAACCTGGTCTGGTCTCCTCTTCCTCTGTGATCTGGTTGAGGCCTGTGTTGACAGGCAGAGCTGAACTCTCCAGTCTAACAGCACAGATCTCCTCACTTCCCTCCTGCACTGTCTCTGTCGTCTGCTCAGCCTCTACAACCCTCTCCAAGCAAAAGCTGGTGCCCCGCGACACAACTGGAAGAAAAGAAGGGAGAAAAACTAAGTGTGAGCACCTGATTATACTGCACAAAACAAAGAAACACTGCATTTCTGAGTTAAATTACTTTGGCAACAGTGTTTAATAATAACAGTAATGGAAATACGGATTATCAATAAAACACAATGCCATGATGTTGTAAAATAAATAATATCCTGTAAGCCTTACTTGTCAAAAAAAAAGTAGATAAATGTAGATAAGATGGTGCAATGTGACCACACAGGAGAATACCATTGATCTGATCATGGGTCTAATGCCCTTAGAGTCATGGGTCAGTAATATCATGACTCAGCATGTATTCACTGAATCTGTATAAAAGCTGACTCAGTTTGAGTTGTTGCTCAGGGCTGTAGAGACTTTTGCTTTCTGAAAGCTGTGTGACTCCAAAGTTGATAAAAGATTCAGAAGGACAACTCTTGGCCAGTTCATTTCAAGGATTTCCACCACATAACACAGTGTGATTAAAGGTCTCATTCTCACCCTGAGGTTTGTGGCTGCTGTGCTGGGCCCTGCGCAGGGGTCTGTGATCAGGGGCCTCCTCTAAGGTGAGGGAGCGGATGACAGTCTCACAGAGGAACTGGGCTCCACTGATCTCCTCCTCCCGGTCCTCCTCCTGGACCAAAGGCTCCAGCTGCTCCTTCTGCTGCCTCAGTTTTACTGCTTGACCAAATACAACACATATTAAACGAGTAATCCACAGATTTACCAATGAACTTCTGTAATGGACTAATGATATACTGATTTATGTGGCAGAATCAGAGATATCTTCTTCTTTATTCCACACATTATTTTTCAAAAATAATGTGATCTAGCGACTACATTAATATGTTATGCTAGCAGTGGCTAATGTTATGCTAGCAGTGGCTAATGTAGCCTTCAGCCGCTAGCCCAAAGATAAAACATGCTGGATACTTTTTTTACTTGAGTTGCATTTCCTTGGGAAGCAACAGACAACTTCATGTTTACAAAATTAAGAACACATAACTCAGGATTTTTTTTGTTACACAATCAGTCTTACCAAAAAGCTTTCTGACCCCTGTGACCTCTGCCTCTTCTTTAATCTGGGAATTTACAGGCTCCTCCAACACTGGTGGATCATGGGGCAGAGGAGATATGCAGGGAGTCAAATCTACATTCAGGAAAAGCAAACACAACACATTTTACACACTTATTTAGCGATTCTCAATCGTGTAAGTGTAGCCATTTTTTCCTAGCAAAGCTAAGGGACATTTTGGAAGGGAAGAAGTGGCACAAACTGCTCTCTTTCAACTAATCTTCTTTAAAATATTTCTCACCAACAGGAGTGTTGTTTGGAACCTTCTCCAACTCTTGCACAATATTTATATCCAGCAGCTCAAATGACAGTAGATCCTATAAAGAAACAAACAGAAGACATGTATGGAAGGCAAAGGCTGTTCTGTGAGTGTGTGCGATCATAAACAAAGCAGAGGTATTGGCTGAAAAGACATGATACGGTAGATGTATGGCAGATTCTTTGTGAGCGTGCACCTGTGCAGTGAGCAGGTCCACGGAGGGGAAGTAGTAGTCTTCGTGGTTCAGGTCTACAGGAAAGACAGGGCCGCTGTCCTTTGACCTGACCTCCTCCTCCTCCTCCTCCTTCTCCACTGGACTCTCCTCCTCCTTCTGAAGCACACACAAGCACCATATCATGAGTATCACTACAGTGTGCATTCAGAAAGTTACCATTACATTTTAAAGAGTAACCCAGGTTTAGTGTCACTATGAATTTAAGGGTTCCACAATGAAATATATGTTTCTTTAAAACCTACTCACAGACATCCTGTTTCTAATGAATACCCTAGAACCAGACACATCTGCTTTTAAATTGGATTGTTTCTCTAATATTCGCTTTTTTGTGAAATATTGTAAGCTCTTTACAGCCCCCAACTAAAATGTAGGGGAAATCTCTCTTTGGTAGAACTCATCTGAAATGTGTATGTGTTTTTTTAAGTAAAACGCTAAGCGATTTTGATCCTGTGTCTTAATAAAAAAAGCTTTTATTTTGAAATTCCTTTCACTGTCACCATTTCCGTCCAAGTGTATATATTTTACACAGAACCAACCCATAAGATTGTGAAATAAAATGTCAGCTCCCTTTTGTTATAAACAAATATAAATGATTATATCAAATGTGAGTCAGATATCATCTCAAATCGAGCCCCTAAATCGGAAATTGTGGCAGAATTTGTGATTCAAGCAAAGGATGGTATTGTTGTCCAAAGAATACAAAAATATATTGTTAGTGTTAAAAATGTGATAACACCCCTCAATGTACCTTATCATTGTATCTGTCAAATAAGTCCAGCCGAAGTATAACAGAGCAAAAAATCGATATACTCAAGTAAACTACCAAAAAAATCGGTACAGCACTAGTTACAGATAATGGCAAATCTAGCCGCGCATGCCAACAGTTAACGTTCTCTCTGCAGTTGTACATTGTGTCATTGGTTATCAGACTTGCCAGTGGTTTGCTCTGATGCCCGGGTGCGTTCCGGCCGTCACCGAGGTCGACTACGATGCTGCACCAGACCCGGGGGCCAAACTGGCAGCCGCAGTGCGCCAGCCGCCAGTGGGAGGTGTACGTCCCCTCCATCACGGGGGCCACAAAGGCCACACTGACCACTCCCACTTGTCCCGGCAGCAGCAAGGGGACCGGCACCTCCTTCCTCTCCTCTGACGCCAGGCCGAGGTTTCCCCACATGAACACTAGCTGGGTGCACGTACACACATACACAAAACACAAAATAGGAATACACATGCGAAAAAGGCACAAGGACAACAGCATGCAGCCAAAGTCAATCAGCAGAAAAATAATAAACTCAAGTGACACACACACACACACACACACACACACACACACACACACACACACACACACACACACACACACACACACACACACACACACACACACACACACACACACACACACACACACACACACACACACACACACACACACACACACACACACACACACACACACACACACACACACACACACACACACACACACACACACACACACACACACACACACACACACACACACACACACACACACACACACACACACACACACACACACACACACACACACACACACACACACACACACACAAACAATGACAAAGACTTAAAAACTTAAATAACAAAACTGAATTAACTGAATTAAAAAAAATTGAGATCTCAGACGGAAAGGGCATTAGTAGGATTAGGCTGGGAAATACATTTTAGCTGGTGTTAGTGGATAAGAAGCTGAGTAGGGACTCAAAGTGGGAGTGAAGCAGAGGGGCCTGTCCTCTCGGCGGGGTGGAGCAGTACCTTAGTCTCTGAGGTCCAGCTGATAGTGCCCGAGTTCCTCATCTTCCAGTATTTGATGAACTTGGTAGCAGGCTCCAGACGGGTGCCGTCCGGCAGATTTTCATCCAGAAACAAGGCAGCCATAGTAGGAACCAAGGACGTGTTCGAGACCCCGGGACCCCTAGTTTCAAGTGTACAGAGCATTGTTGAAAATAGCCCTGGTTTCTTATAATACCCATCTCTTTTGTTCTCTATGAATCAAAAAGCAGCTCAAAAGCAATTTTTCTTAAAAAATCTATGAAGCAGCAGCAGCAGCAGTTTCACATTGAGGTAGTTCCAACATTTTCCACCACCCCAGAGCAGCCAGCGACACACTCATACAGACTAGATTACAAAGATGGCATATTTTGATTTCTTTTCTTGGGAAAAAAGGACTTTTATTGCATCCATGCTGGGTTTGAGGTACCCAGCACTGGCGGACGCCCTTCCCACATGGCGCTTACTCTGGACTGGAGGTCTGGGGATCAGGGGCCGGGGCAGGGACGGGACCTTGGGCTGGGGCTGGACCTGAGGCAGTTTCTGTGGCAGCAGGGGGGGACAGGGCTGGGACCTGCGTGGACGTGGAGGCCATGTTTGTCAGGTTGGCTCTGCCTGAGGTAGAGGGCCCACTCCACTGCAGCCCCCTCTTCTCCAGTCTCAGTTTCTTCTTGATTTCCTTCACTTCAGCTCTGAGCTGCCTCCTTTCAGCTTTGAGGCGCTGTCGCTCGGCCTTGCGCACAGTCATGTCTCCTCGCCTTGGGAACCTGGTTTGAAATGTCATCAGGAACACCTATTTGTTGACTATCAAAAGTTTATTTTCCAAGAACAAAACACATACACACTTATAATTCATTATTTACGGTAATCTAGCTGCTAAAACATGTTTGCAGTCTTGCTCTGCGACTATTTCATATATATGTTTTCCTCCAATAATGCAGAAGAAGTGATAGCAAAAAGGGCTAGCACTGTTGCAAGTAAGAATGTCTTATAGTTTCAAGAAGTGGGAAGATTGATCCTCGGTCTTGGGCGTTTACCTCAACTCTCCCGACATGCCATGCTCAGGGATGGAGAGAGGTGTCTTGGTTCTCACGAGGTTGTGGCTGGGGTCATGGCTGTGTCTGCACATCTCACACAGGATGCAGGACGGGCATACACTGGCAGGACACAAGCCAAGAAAAAGCAATTATAGGGATACTCATAAAGATGCTTAAAGAGCACGGAATGCAGGAACAAGTTTGACGTAAACAAAGTGCAAACTTAGAAAAAGGACCACTAAACATTGTGTATGACAATATCTGTGACATGTGAAGATCATCTCTGTTGACTCATCAGGTGAAACATCACTTAGCTCCTTCTCATTGTATTATCATGTGTTCCTACCTGCACTTGTAGGCCCCTTCAGAGGTGAGTTTGTTGCAGCTGCTGCAGTTGGGGGTGTAGCCCAGGGACCCACTTGAGGTGGAGGGGCCCGGCCCTGGCCCTAAAGGACCGCCACTGGCTTCAAGGGGCCCATCTGGTGATTTGTGGGTACAACACTGGCCAGAAAAGTCATTGCACATCCTTTCCACCACCTCTTTCACTACCTCATCTTTAAACTATGGAACAAGAAGGGGAAAAAAAGAGTTTGATTTATGTTATAAAAAGCTTGAGAGACAACAATATTAAGTTGAAGTTAAAAAATGTTTATTGATATCTTACCTTCTCCATGTACGATCTAAACCACATGGGAGGTGGTTCATCTTCTGGCTTGTTCCCCTTGTTGTCCTTTACTGTGACCTGTATCAGAATACATCAGGAGGTGTGAAGTTAATTTTCTAGCATATTTGAGTTGAGCTTGACTTTCATTATTAGACACAAACTGACCACACAATTCCCTGTAATATGTCAATCATTGCCAGATAAATGCATAGGCAATGAAAGACTGTTATCCGTCCTTAACATTAATTGGGCTTTGCTGAATTGCATGGTCCCAACCGGATTCGAACCCGGGTCTTCCGCATGGGGACCAATCAAACAGAATAAAAAGAAATAAAAGGTTGTTTATATAAAATTGGAATCTAAAGGTTATGGCTGAAGCTTTAACATATAATGTACAGCCCTATAAAAGCTATTTAAATAATAATACTACAAGAGATGAACCACAGCGGGTGCTTAAGATGTGTTTCTAGACTATTACTGTGCCTAACAATGCCAACAAGACGCTGTAAACACTGCAAGTGTGAGAGCATGTAATGAGTAGAAAGAGGAAGGAGATGGGAGGAGGAGAATCTGTTTGTTTCCTTACAGCTTCTCGCTCCGGGGTGACTTGTGTGCCTTTATCCACCGTTTTGACCTTTGATGGATACGGAGGAGCAGGCCGGAGGTCTCCTTTCAGCTCCTTCACCTCCGTCTTCAGCGGGCCTCCACAGGCCTGACCCTTCATCTTGTACACGTTCATGTGCAACTGGTTCCCCTGCTTCTCTGCACTCTGTGTGGAAAACAAGAATGAAACACATACCACAGGAGACACAGAACATTTGATGAATTGAATAAAAACAATAAGCTAAAATCTTGACTATGCCAAAAATAAACTTATAAGGATAGAATATAAAAACACAGCGTAGTTGTTGTTGGCACAATTCCCCTTTAAATAACTATTGGAATGCTGCTAGACTGGTTTATGTCTTAAGGCAGGTCACACAATACATGTGATGTGTCACCTCATATTTTGTCACATGCCTGGAGAGTAACAGCAATGCAATGTTTTTTAATTTTCTCATTCACGCAATAATGTTTGACTGAATTCTACTTCCACTACAATCGTCACTTGATTCCCATATCCTGCATGATCTCTTCAATGTTCGAATGACTTGTGAAATGTGCCTTTAAATCTCATCCTGTCTTTAATATGCGACAGAAATAAAGCAATGCCATGTACCTTGATGGCTTCTTCATATTCATCTGAAATAAAAACACAACAACAGAACATTGATAAGTAACAATTAGTTGCACACACATATTTATGTAAAGTACACATATTTCCACTTTTTATATGAATTATTTATAAGTATTTGTATATTGTTGGTAAGAATTGTGTATTTTCTGTTGTCGTCTTCGTTATTCCGCAGTAAGAATTGTAACTTTAAAAAAGATCATATCAGGTATCATTGTTGCTCATATTCTACTTCAATTATGAAATGAAAAGATAGGCAAACAAACGTTTTCTTACCTTGACTGTTTATACAAATCTGAAAGAAAAGAGTGAATGAGTTAGGAATGGATTACGCCTAAAGATCATGCAGGTCAAACATTATGATCATTTTATCCTAAGTCTAAAAACCAGTGCTGGAAGAAGAATATAAATACTGTTTTACAGGTGAAATTCATGCATTCAAAATGTTACATAGCATACATATGATCAGCACAATGTAAAGTAAGAGGACTTACTGTATAACAAATGGATATATATCATGATAGAGAAAGGCCCAATTCAGAATAATAAATTGTATAAATGATTGTCATTGACACATTAGTATCCACATCTCTTCAGTGTTGTGGCTGGTTAATGTGGGGCCAGTTATCATAACTCTATATATTGGGTAGCTTAATATATAATCAGTTATTATAATAAGTTATTAGTTGGTTTTATGTTTCGTATTAATAATCTAAATCTGGAAAGTATTTGTATAAAAGTGGTTCAAAATGTAAACAATGAAGTAGCAGTACCCAAAAAGTGAGTATATGTACTAAGTTGCAGTTCACTACTGCTCCCTTACTTAGCTAATAACAATCTTAGTTAAGTTTGAACTAAAGTATTCTTATATTTGTTAACAAACTACACGGTTTATTTATGTTGTCCTATTAATCAGAATCGAAGTAATTCAACCTTTTAAATAAGTGAAGTGAAGTAGAAATGACTATATTGCCTTCCCAAATGTAGACATACAATAGCATAAATGTACATAACCAAGTATGGTGCACTTACTTATAGTACTTAAGTACATTTACCAAGTAACATTCCTTCAGTGGTAAACACAACGGACACATACAGTATTTGTATACACTCCCTTACCTCTTCATTATCCTCATCAAAGTATTTGATTTGAAAGTGGTTGATCCCAAAAGACGCTTTGATCTGAAATGTATACATTTAAATAATTGATTATCAAACCCCGAGGAAAGATATATTTTTTGAATCAGATTTGTGTTCCTCACAAGTGTAAGGAAAACATCAATAATGGCAAGCCGAGAAATACCTTTACAGTACAGCTAGCTACTGTAATTGTCCTGTAAAACGCATAATAGCAATCCTAACCCTCATATTCAGGGTAAGCATTAAACAATAACCACGTATGAACATTTTGTCGCAACAGTATTGCATGTCCTTCAGGTGGTCTATTGTTTACGTGTCTAGGCCATGTCTGGGCCTGCTCTTCACCAAACTGCGCCAGTGTTTAGCCAGCACGCTCAGCTAGCAGCAGCTTACCCAGGCTTCAACGGACTCCCACTCCAGTTTGTCCAAATCCTGAGCTAGAAATCTCTTCACGTTCCCACGGAAATTTACTTTAATCGTAACAGGCAGCCCCATGTCAGCCGTTTATGAGCATATATTGGCTATCATTTGCGGTGACACCGGCCTATTTGATCCCTGTTGCCCTCGACTGTCTTTTCTTGTTTACATCGTCAGCTGCGTCGAGAAAAATACGGTGACGTTTTCGCGCAGGCGCAGTCCAAACATCAAGTCCCTTTCTCCTGTCGCGTGTCAACAACGTCATCTTTAAGCTCACAAAGTGTGGCTGACAGGTAACATAACCACACACACGTTTCAAAGGCCAATTTAATGCTATTGGAACACTCTTTTCTTCACCTATTTGATCACATAAGATGTCTTCGCTTCTCAAGGTGGACAATGAAATTAAAACCAAGGTAAGGTTTGTGTTTCTGGAAAGCCCAGTTGAGGTTATACGACGTGTTGTTGCTATTGCCTGCTAGCATGTTAGCCACGTTTTGTAGCATGATATGAGAACTCAAGCTAACAGCAGCTAGCTATCTAAAAGCGGCTAACCGCCTGTTGGAATGCACCTGTCAAACCTCCTAACAGGTGTTGATACACAAAGACAATACGCTTCTTGTGTTAACGTTGCTGCACTGTTTGTGAAGAGGACATGCATTATATAAGCCTGAGCTAACAAGTTAGCCACTTAAACAAGCTGCCGTTCTCATACCTGCGTTATGTTAACAAGGGATATAGCTTTAAATTGTCTACTGACACACTTGCTACACCTAGACTGTGTATGGTCATAAGTAAAAAAAACAGTGCATTTATTGATCATCCCAAACCTTACTTACCTATAAGTATTCATCAACAACATTAACTAAATGTATCGTATTCCTTGTGCAGTAAAATGTTCTAATCATTTTAACTTTAAATTATATTAGGCTAATATTACTAATGCATTGATGTGTATGTTGCGTTTACCTGCTGTTGAAGTTTAAGGTTATGTATATTTGTGGACCCTTGTGTTGTGTTTTTGCAGGTCGATGCTTTCAGGGAACGTATTACTTCAGAAGTAAGTAGTGTCACATGAAAAATCACAGCAAACATACTGCCATCAAAACTATTCTGGTTTACAAGTATCTAAAATATTGCATTTCTTTTAGGCAGAAGATCTAGTTGCATGCTTTTTCCCAAAGAAGTTGCTGGAACTCGATCACTTCTTAAAGGTCAGTTATACTGTATTTCCATTCAACTGAGCACACATTGATGAGCCTTAGATCACTTACAAGGAATTTGCCTTGGTGTGTAACAATAAACAACATACATGGCAAAAAGGGTTTTTGACTAATCAAGTAAGTAACATCAAGGTGTTTCATTAATCTCATCCAAAATGTATACAAAATCCAAGAAGCAGATATGTCATTACAAACTTGGAGAAAGACACTCATATAAAAGGTCAAAACTGAAAAAAATGGTTTGTCAAAATTATTTATCAGGCAATACATTTTTTATAGTCCTACAGTATATATCTTTATAGCACCAAACCCTTGATGTTGCCACGAGACCGATAATTATTTATAAAATAACAGCTAGTAAAATTGTTGATTTTCAGGATCCAATCATAAACATCGCTGATCTGAAGGAGATACACTCAGAAATAAACCTGACTGTGCCAGACCCCATTCTGCTCTCAAACCTCCAGGACGGATTAGAAGCTGTGAGTCTCCATTTTAGAGAATAATTCAATCCTCAATAACTAATGTGTGCAGGGCAGAGGGGAGTGTGTAGCCTGATCCTGTTTGTATCTGTTTCTCAGCAAAATGCCAAAAAGAGAAAGCTTGAAGATGGAGGTGGGGAGGACAAGGGTGAGTACAAGACTATTAACTAGGTCAAATAGATTTAAAGGGAAATAATTCTACTTACTTTACTTTTTTTCTGGATCAATGGACACCATTCATTATTTTTTCTAGGATCAATAATAATAATTTAGATGTGAATAATTCTGCTGTAAATAACAGCCTTCTTATGTTTGGATATGAGTGGTGTCTTTACTTTATTAGCTCACATCAAAAGAGAAACTTTTTCTTTCTTGCGAGGAACTAAAACGCATTTTACAGTTTTTTTTTTTCTTTCGCTACGGTAACACTTCTTTGCTGATACATATACCAAATGTTCCTGCTTTCCTGTTTGAAACGTAAATATTCTCCCCTCCTTTCTCTCTTCCCTGTGTAACGCAGTGACTGGCACCAAGGTCTTTGTCATGCCTGGTGGGATGATGAAGAGCAACGGAACCCTTGTGGATCTCATTGAAAAAGTCAAACCAGAGATCAGGACACTCATAGAGAAATGTAACACAGTAAGTAATGTCTCTTATATCCTGTCCCAGGGTCATACTCCTGCGTCAGAAGCTGAATGTTAAAATACCAACAGTAAACCTACATGATACAGCTAGACATTTGTAAAACAAGTCTAAGACTAATATAAGGTTATTGATGGTGTGAAAACTATTCTGAGTTGCCAGGCTTGTCTTAATTCAAAACTTACAGTTGCTAAAGAGATTTCTAAAAGGGCAAGCTATTTGTCTAATGGCGCGTTTCCACTGCAGGCCTCGCTCGGTTTGGTTAGGCCTTATTAGGCCCGGCTCACTTTAATGCTGCGCTTCCATTACAGTTTAGGAACTGGGGCAGTTACTATAGTAACGCAGTCTAGGCGGAGCCGTGACGTCATCTTCAATGAGAGCCCCAGAAAAACAACACAGCCGTTAGCTGTTAGCACTCAGAGCTCACAGCTCCTCATATCTGTTCAGAAACTAGACAAAAGTTAAACAAGTACAAACCACAGACTGCCTGTGTCATGGCGAATACAGTCGCTGCTTTATTTATGTCTGTATAGGCCGTTGTTGTGAGTGTGGACGGTCGGAGCATATATAACGTTAGCTTAGCCAAGCTCCATTTAGAAAGCACGCATTTTAAAAGGGTTTTTCGCCTGCCGTCTGTCTGCAGACTTGTCAAAGCATTAATTCATGGTTTTTACTAACCGGTATCAGTATGTTGTTACTTCGGCATCATTTTGAAACGTGTATTACAATTAAATCACGGTCAAATATGTTCATCTTGTTGTAGTTGTAGCCCCCTTGCCAGCGATTCTCTCTTTAGTTTAGCATACTCAGCCCGACTCAGCCTGGTTGTTCCTGGCCCTAGAACCACGATTTGATGGGGCACGGCTCGGCACGCTTAAAGCGAGCTACCCGCTGCAGTGGAAACGCGCCATAACTGGTTGAACAACTTGTCTAGCCTAAACGTATTCACATTCAACCTGTTAATGAAGAAAGTTATTGTTAGTATTTAGTGGCCACCGTTTCCAGACAGTTACTGCAACTGTTGTGGACATGACCAATCTACGCCTATACTTCACTGTGAGCCTTACAGATGTTGCATCTTTTTGTTCTTAGCATTTTTTTTGTTCTTCTGTAGGTCAAAATGTGGGTTCAGCTGCTAATCCCCAGGATAGAGGACGGCAACAACTTTGGAGTGTCAATCCAGGAGGAGACGGTAGCTGAACTCAGAACAGTTGAAGGGGAAGCAGCATCTTACCTTGACCAGATATCAAGGTCTTTCAAATTCCTAACCATATTGTTTGCTGGTGAATGTCAAATGACTTAGATGCTACAGTTTATTTTCCTGTGTTTGATTGTTAACTTGTTCTTTATAATTTACAAGATTCTTTCTGTGATTTTTAGCAATGTTAACTGTCTTCTTTACTTCTAGATACTACATCACAAGGGCAAAGCTCGTTTCTAAAATAGCAAAATATCCACATGTGGTAAGTAAATATTTTTGTTAGCACTTTTTGTCTATGAAAAAGGGTTGATTTTGGTAGAGTTTAAACATTTTTAAACTGCATTTTCCTTTACTGTTGGTTCTCGACACTGGCATGCTGATAAAGTCACGATAAGTGTTTAATGAATCTTTTGTGCATGTGAATGCGGTTTTATTCCAGGGCGAGAGTGGCTGTCCCTCCCACAAACAATGAAAACTTCTATAGAGAGAATGTAAATACATTCAATGGCTATTACTGAAAAATTGTATACGATATACATTTAAAAAATTGGGTTTGTTACCCTGAACATAAAATATAAAGCAGTAAAGAAAACAGAAGTTGTCTGGCCCTTGTGAGATTGTGTCTAACTTAAGTGAAGATGAGCATGAATATTGATATTTGGATAAACTTTATCTTTTTTATTAGGAGGACTATCGGCGCACAGTAACTGAGATCGATGAGAAGGAATACATCAGTCTGAAGATCATAGTTTCTGAGCTCAGAAATCAATATGTAAGTTATTATTTCTATTTCTCATATACACTGAACAAAAATATAAATGCAACACTTTTGTTTTTGCTTCCATTTGTCATGAGATGAACTCAAAGATCTGAAACATTTTCTATTTACACAAAATAACCATTTCTCTCAAATATTGTTCACAAATCTGAAAAAATCTGTGATAGTGAGCACTTCTCCTTTGCAGAGATAATCCATCCCACCTCACAGGTGTGGCATATCAAGATGCTGATTAGACAGCATGATTATTGCACAGATGTGCCTTAGGCTGGCCACAATAAAAGGCCACTCTAAAATGTTCAGTTTTATCACACAGCACAATGCCACAGATGTCGCATGTTTTGAGGGAGCGTGCAATTGGCATGCTGACAGCAGGAATGTCCACCAGAGCTGTTGCCCGTGAATTGAATGTTCATTTCTCTACCATAAGCCGTCTCCAAAGGCGATTCAGAGAATTTGGCAGTACATCCAACCGGCCTCACAACCGCAGACCACGTGTAACCACACCAGCCCAGGACCTCCACATCCAGCATGTTCACCTCCAAAATCGTCTGAGACCAGCCACTCGGACAGCTGCTGCAACAATCGGTTTGCATAACCAAAGAATTTCTGCACAAACTGTCAGAAACCGTCTCAGGGAAGCTCATCTGCATGCTCGTCGTCCTCATCGGGGTCTCGACCTGACTCCGGTTCGTCGTCGTAACCGACTTGAGTGGGCAAATGCTCACATTCGATGGCGTCTGGCACGTTGGAGAGGTGTTCTCTTCACGGATGAATCCCAGTTTTCACTGTTATGGGCAGATGGCAGACAGCGTGTGTGGCGTTGTGTGGGTGAGCGGTTTTCTGATGTCAATGTTGTGAATCGAGTGGCCCATGGTGGTGGTGGTGGGGTTATGGTATGGGCAGGCGTA